TGCTTGTTTCAAATTTGATTACACGATGAAACATCAGAGAAAAGCGTTTTTTATTTATTATTATTTTTTTTTTTTTTTTGAATTGGAGAAAAAGAGTTTAATATCAAAAAGCAGGTATAGAGGTGTATATATATATTTTTTCAGATATGTACATATATTATAATAATATATTTATAATATACGTATATATTTAGATTTTGAGCCACGCGAGAATGTATTTCCTCGAATTTGTCTAGACTATATATTTTTCGAAAGTCGAGAGAGCTTTGCTTTGCAACTTGCTTTGGACGGAATTATTCATATATAAGCTTGTTTAAGTAGGTTTATTATTTATTTAATAGTAATTAGTGTGCCTTGTTAAATACATTTAAACTTGTAAAAGTACATAAATTTTCATGAGACGGTTTATATTTTCCGTTTTCTATAACGGATTATAACTTGTAACTAACTGTTATTACATTAAAATTATAATATTATTTTTTTTAATAATTTATTATACTATAATTATTAAATTAATAATAAATTATTATAATTATATTATAATTATATTAAAATTATATTATAATTTTCTATAAATAATCATACTGTAATTATAATATTATAATAATTATATTATACTAATATAATCATTAGATTAATAATACATTGCAATTATAATTCTAATTATAAACTATTAATTTATTTAAAATTTAATTTTAATTGAATTTTATTAAATTAATAATAATAATAATAATAATAGAAATAATAGAAATAATAGAAAATAATAAATAGTAAGAAATTATAAGAAATAATAAAAAATGATTAAAAAAGATAAAAAATGATAAAAGATAATAAATAATAATAAATAATAAAAAAAAATGTTTAATTGTGAGAAATGATAAAAAGTGATAAGAGGAGAAAAAAAAATTGATAAGAAAAGTGATAGTGAGAGGCTTCTGACAGGGAATAAAGGGTTAAACTTGCACGTAAGCCGTTAATGGAGCAACACAAAACATATCTCCATTCTTGTTACGATTATCCTTAGGAGCTGAAGATTCCGCTTAGCGCAGTTGCGTAAGTAGGCTTATAAAGCGACGAGTTGAGAGAGAACGGGTATTTAGGGGTCGACCGACATGTAATCAGTTCTAAAGATTACTCCCGTAAGCTTGTCAGTTAAGTTGAACCGAACGCTTAAGTAAAATCTTCTCTCCTATACGCTTGTCGAGATGAACAACAACCAACTTGATGTCATGTAATTTCATGTAAACTGATGCAATTTGATGCAATTTAATTCAATTTAATTCAATTTAATTCAATTTTTATGTAAACTGATGCAATTTTCATTCCATTCCATTCAATTCAATTGTTCATGTAAACTGATGCAATTTAATTCAATTTAATTCAATTTAATTCAATTCCATTTAATTCCATTTAATTCAAATTGAACTGAACTCAATTTAATTCCATTTTTCATGTAAACTGATGCAATTTAATTCTATTCAATTCCATACAATTCAATTTTTATGTAAACTGATGGAATTTAATTCAATTTAATTCCATTCCATTCAATTCAATTTTTCATGTAATCTGATGCAATTTAATTCAATTTAATTCAATTTAATTCAATTTAATTCAATTTAATTCAATTCCATTTATTTCCATTTAATTCAAATTGAACTGAACTCAATTTAATTCCATTTTTCATGTAAACTGATGCAATTTAATTCTATTCAATTCCATACAATTCAATTTTTATGTAAACTGATGGAATTTAATTCAATTCAATTCCATTCCATTCAATTCAATTTTTCATGTAATCTGATGCAATTAAATTCAATTTAATTCAATTCAAATTATTTCAAATTCAAATTTAATTCAAATTAAAACTAATGCAATTTAATTCAATTTAATTCAATTCCATTTAATTCTATTTAATTCAAATTGAACTGAACTCAATTTAATTCCATTTTTCATGTAAACTGATGCAATTTAATTCTATTCAATTCCATACAATTCAATTTTTATGTAAACTGATGGAATTTAATTCAATTTAATTCCATTCCATTCAATTCAATTTTTCATGTAATCTGATGCAATTTAATTCAATTTAATTCAATTTAATTCAATTTAATTCAATTTAATTCAATTCCATTTATTTCCATTTAATTCAAATTGAACTGAACTCAATTTAATTCCATTTTTCATGTAAACTGATGCAATTTAATTCTATTCAATTCCATACAATTCAATTTTTATGTAAACTGATGGAATTTAATTCAATTCAATTCCATTCCATTCAATTCAATTTTTCATGTAATCTGATGCAATTAAATTCAATTTAATTCAATTCAAATTATTTCAAATTCAAATTTAATTCAAATTAAAACTAATGCAATTTAATTCAATTTAATTCAATTCCATTTAATTCTATTTAATTCAAATTGAACTGAACTCAATTTAATTCCATTTTTCATGTAAACTGATGCAATTTAATTCTATTCAATTCCATACAATTCAATTTTTATGTAAACTGATGGAATTTAATTCAATTTAATTCCATTCAATTCAATTTTTCATGTAATCTGATGCAATTTAATTCAATTTAATTCAATTCAAATTATTTCAAATTCAAATTTAATTCAAATTAAAACTGATGCAATTTAATTCAATTTAATTTTTCATGTAAACTGTTGCAATTTAATTTAAATTCAACTTTAGACTATAAAAAAAATTAAAATTTATAATTAAAATTGAAATTAAAGTTTAGATTGTATAGAAAAAGTTAAATTTATAATTATAATTGAAATTATAATTTTAGATTGTAAAACGAGTTAAAATTTATAATTAAAATTTAAATTGAAATTAAGATTGTAAAGAAAATTAAAATTTATAATTAAATTTGAAATTAAAGTTTAGATTGTAAAAAAAATTAATATTTATAAATAAAGTTGAAATTACAGTTTAGATTGTAAAAAAAATTAAAATTTTATACCTATTTAAAATTGAAATTAAAATTTAGATTGTAAAAAAAATTGAAAATTATAATTAGATTTGAAATTAAAGTTTACATTGTAAAAAAGTTAATATTTATAAAAAGAATTGAAATTCAAGTTTAGATTATAAAGAATATTAAAATTTATAATTAAAATTGAAATTTAAGTTTATATTTAAAAAAAAAATTGAAATTTATAATTAAATTTGGAATTAAAGTTTAGATTGTAAAAAAATGAAAATTCATAATTAAAATTGAAATTAAAGTTTATATTGTAAAAAAACTTAAAATAGAAACTGAAGTTTAGACTCTAAAGAAAATGAAAATTTATAATTAAAATTGAAATTAAAGTTTATATATTTAAAAAAAATTGAAATTTATTATTTAATTTGAAATTAAAGTTTAGTGTGTAAAAAAATTAATATTCATAAATAAAATTGAAATTACAGTTTAGAATGTACAAAAAAGGAAAATTCATAATTAAAATTGAAATTAAAGTTTAGATGTAAAAAAAATGAAAATTTATAATTAAAATTGAAATTAAAGTTTAGAAGATTGTTAAAAAAAATGAAAAATAATTAAAATTAAAATTAATGTTTAGATTGTAAAAAAACTTAAAATTTACAATTAAATTCGAAATTAAAGTTTAGATTGTAAAAAAAATTAATTGAAATAATTTAATTGAAAAAAAAAAATTAATTTAATTGAAATTAAACTTTAGACTGTAAGAAAAATTAAAATTTATAATTAAAATTGAAATTACAATTTCGATTTGTAAAAAAAATTTTAATTTTTCACTTAAAATTTAAAATTAAAATTTAGATTTTAAAAAAAAATTTAAATATAAAAATATTAAAATAAAATCAAGATAATAATTATCTAATCTTAATACTTATTCGAAAACTATTTTCCTCTCACCCGACTCTTCAATTCAATGAAATTTTCTGAACGAAGCAACTGTCTGACTATATTTTATGGCTATACTACTGACTTTTTTTTTTTTTTTTTCTTAACTCGTATTTAGTGACTCTCGCAGTTTATGTCTGACATATAAAGACTTCTTCTACTTATTCCATTACATAATTCACTCTAAAGAGAATAAAATTTTCAATTTTATTTTTTTCCTCTCCATTAACATCATCAAAGAAAAAAAGATAATTTTTCTTTTCCTTTTTTTTTGCTACACTCATTGTTTATTATCGCTTTTTATTCTTATTATTATTGTTATTATTATTAGTTCTTTTATTGCAATGACAGTATGTCGTTTCTGTCTTGGTGGTAGTGAAGAGGGGTGGGAGGGAGGGGGTGGAAAATGATATAATAAAGTAAAATACAACGACACACTACTGTATTTTACTGCCACTTTTCTTTTTCTTTTTTTTTTTTTTGCAGAGAACTGTTGCACACGCTTGCAATAAAAGTCTCTATTCTGCAATAACGAAAGAATCTACTCTAATAGCATAAATGTATTTATCATAAATCCAATTTAACAAGAAAGTACGACCTTTACTCTATTCCTCCTATCCTTCTATACAATTGATGAGAGATGGAAAAAAAAGAAAATGCTATAAATTTTTGTTTCTGGTTATTTTGGTCAATGAAAAAAATTTCTTTTGGAAATTTATGGTAAAGAAGTTGGTCTATTTTACTTTAACAAAAATTTTATGTAATTTGTAGAATTTTTGGGGCATTTTTTTAAAAATTAGAAATTTTTTTAAAAAATAATTTATTTAAATAATTGTTTGTTTATTAGCTTCCATTTAATAAAAAAAAAAAAAAAATTTCAGTAAGGAAGAAAATTGTTTGTTAATTTTTAACTTATGCGACTTTTAAAAATTTTTTTATTTAAATATTTAGATTTTTCGGTTAAGATTTTAGATAAAAAAAAAAAAATAAAATAGTACTTTACGCAAAAATAGTATAAAACTATTTTTTCGGACATTTTTTTTTATTAGCATTTCTAGCTTTTTTCTGTGGAGGAAAAGAGAAATAAGAAAAGTAAATTTTTTGTTTTTTGTATTCGACTTACCGTGTAGAGGATATCAAGAGTGATGGGATAGACCATATGTTCAACGATGACCCTAAGGACGGTATTTGGTCCTCCTTGCGTTTCTCCACCCTGTACTTGTCCGACCTGTCCTTGAGCTTGCAAAGCTGTGTTCTATAAAAAAGAAAAAGAAAATGTTGTTCATTAAATTCCCATAGTTTTTTCGTTGAATAAATTTTTCTAAGTAACATTTTGTTAAATTTTCTTTATTAAATTGAAAAAAATTTCGAGGATTTAAAATATTAAAAATATTTTAATATAATTTATTTAACATGAAAAAAAATATTAATTCAAAACTAAATTTTCAAAAATACAAAAAAAAAATGAAATATAAATTTTTCAAATTTAATTTTTTCTGGAATTTTATTATTTTCATTTATATATCAGAATATAAAATTAGTTTTTTAATATAAAATTTGTTTTTTTATGTAAAATTTGTTTTTTTAATGTAAAATCAGTTTATAAATAGGAAAAAAAAATTTGTCTTGGAGAAACTGTCAAGACTCTTGAAAAATGAGCAAATGATTGACTGCGAAGCACAAGCAATAGGGAATGCAGTGAGCAATCTTAAAAATCTCGTGTGTGTCAATTCTTTGCCCAAAAATCACAAACGACATGTCAATGGAAAATATGAGAATTTTTAAAAGTAGATGTCGCATGAAAAACCAATAAGAATGGTAACAAAATTCACTGAATATATTCCCCCTCCCCCCCCCCAAAAAAAAAGGAAGATTCAAAGACGAGACTTCACGAACAAGAAAAAAGGAAAGAAAAAAATAAGGACAGGAGAGAAAAAAAATACGAAATATTTCAACATATCCATAAGCTTAAACTGAAGAGGAGGTGAAAAAGAAAAATGTTTATAACAATGTAAATAGAAAAAACAAAAGTAGAATTAAATAAAAAAAAATTTACGAAATAAAAAAAATAAGAAATAAAATTAAACACAATAAAAATGAAAAGAAGAAGAAAATAAAACAATAAAAATAATAAAAAATAAAATAAAACAATAAAAAGAATAAAAAATAAAACAATAAAAATAATAAAAAATAAAATAAAACAATAAAAAGAATAAAAAATAAAACAATAAAAATAATAAAAAATAAAATAAAACAATAAAAAGAATAAAAAAGAAAATAAAACAATAAAAAGAATATAAAATAAAAAAATGAATGAAATAAAGTAGAATAAAATAGAAAATAGAATAAAATAAAAAGATAGAATAAATTAAGAAATAGAATAAAATAAAAAAATTTAATACAACGAAAAACAAAGTAAATTCAAATAGAACAAAAAATAACAAAAATTGATGAATATGTAGAATAAATTAATAGAAAAAAGAAGAGTCGATTATTAACGGAAAATATTGATAATTAATAATAAAATAAGAGTTAATTTTTTCAATATTTCTGATTTTTTGAAAATTAAAAAAAAAATTAACCACAAATGATGAAAAATTATTATTGATTGAAAATACCTGTGAGAAATGTTAAAAAAGTTGTTGATTCTCTTGTACTGGTGAAATATTGTTAAAAAAATGAACTAACAATAAAAATCAATAATATGGTAAAAATTTTAATAAAAATAAAAAAAATTTGATGAAATTATTTTCTTCCCCTTGCAAGTTGTCTCAGCAATGAAGAACAATAAACTGACCTTGACTTTCTTGTTTACAATAGAAATTATTATATTAAGGGTAAATTTTAAATTTAAATAATAATTTTTGATTTATTAAATCAAAATTTTAAGCAGTTTAAATATTAATAATTATTAACAATTATTAATTAATTAATTATTAATTGAATAACAAACTAAATTTAATTTACTAATTGTAAATAAATAATTAGAATTATAATTGCATTTTAGTAAAATAACCTAAATTAATAAAAAATAAAGTGAGTAAATAATTAAGAGTAAAATATTAAAAATACAGTAAGGTAAGTTTAATTAAATGAATAAATAAAATTTGCCAATGACAATGAATTTATAAAATTTATAAAAAGACTTTATTTAAAAAGTCTTAATTTAAAAATTTATAAAATTTATAAAATTTATAAAATTTATAAAATTTATAAAATGAATAAATAAAACAAATAAAACATAAATTAAATGACAAACAAAAATAAATTAATAAAGAAAAAGTATTAAAAAATGTCAATAAATAAATAAATTAATTAAATTAAAATTTCGAAATAAAAGGGAGAAATATTCCTTTGAACTATTCAGGTCTATACACGTTGAATAAAAGGAATGACAAGGACGAAAAGAAAACATCAATAAGTTCTTAAACAATACCGATGGACATTGAATGCTTTGTGTTTACGATACGATATTAATATTAATTTTGAAGATAAATTTAAATTGAAATAATTTTTAATTTAAAATAATAAAATTTATTTTCAATTTAAATCTATAATTAATTTTTAAATTAAAATTATTTTCAACCGCCACTGATCAATTAATTATTTTTGATTATTAATATTTTTGATTGAAAATATTTTTCATTAATCGAATTTTTGAAGAATTCTAACTAAAAGTTTGAAAAATAATTGAATTTCATAAAAATTTAAGTTTATTACTAGTTTAAGAAAAAAAAAAGTGAATATTTTTTATGGAAATCAGGGAAATACAGAATCAAATATTTTTTCGAATTTTTGTAAATTATGTATTTTGAAATTTTGATAAATAAATAAATAAATAAATTGATTAAAACGTGTTTAATTTAATTTTAATTTGATAATATTAAATTATTTAATAATATTATATTAAATAATAAATTATTAAATATATCAAATTTAATTTTTCGATAGTTAATTTTTTTTTACTATTTTTTTTTGCTCATAAATCTACTATTTGACACTTTTAAAAAATTTACTATTGAGTGCAAAGCCTGTTATTATTATTATTATTATTATTATTATTATTATTATTATTATTATTAAATATTAATTAACGTAATTTATAATAAATGATTATTATTGTCGCGCGTCGACACATAAATGGAACTTTGAATTATAACAAAAGTGTCATTGTCAAATGCAAGTTAATTTCTTAATTAAATTATGATGATTAAGGCAATGAAATTAATAAGAGTCGAGAGATTTCCATTTGCTTTTTGAAATATTAGAAGCATATTTTAGATGGTTTGTGCTTGTGAAGTGAAAACTTTTTGGGTAAGGGGGGAGAAGGGGATGGGGGGGGGACAAAGCGAGAACGAGTTGTAGCAGATGTTCTGTGCTATTCTTGACTGCTCATTTTAACCCCCTTTTTCCTTCATCCCCCCTCCCTTTCTCTCACTCTCTTTCTTCTTTCCTCATCCCTCTTATATATACAGTTAGTGGAAAACCATTTTCTGTAAGGTTCCTGACACAAAGTTTACCTCGCGCAAACTCTCAACAATTGGGGGAGTAAGGGGGGGGGGAGGGGAGTCACGTATACACCTAGCGCACAGTTATCCAACCTCCAGGTTAATTAATGCCACTCACTCTCATATTCGCATCTCTAAGCTGCTTTTTCAAGTTGCAGCGCCTTTTTCACTTCAGAGAATCTTTCTCCTTCTCAAATATCTCTCTTTCTCTTTCTCTCTCATCTCATTGTATAATTTTTCATTTCTTCAACAAACATCATCATTTCCTTTTTTCGTCTAAAACCTAATTAAACTTTATTTCGAAAGAAAGTCTTTTTTTGTTTCTTCTCTTTTTTTACCCCCATCCTCTTTCTTTTATTATTTCTATTTATGCTTTTATATCTATATAATGTGTTATTCTTCTTTTCTGGCCTTTACGCGAAATATTCTTGAGTGAAAAACAGAGTGCAATTGTGTGTATTTTTTTTTAAACATCATTTTATATTTTTTCATTTCTCTAGGTAGAAATTATAACTAAGAGAGAGAGGGGGAGAGGGAGAAAAAATAGATGACCCGCCTTGAGAAATTATTTTTTATATAATCAAAGTTGTCTGACTTATCTCGAGACGGTTTGTTAGCTGGAAATTGTGTACGAAATTTTTTTTTAAATTCATTTACTAGACATTAATATTATTTCACAAATCTTTGAATTTTTCTAAATAATTATTACATTTATTAACAAATTTTTTTTTAAAATTATTAATTAATACATATATTAATACAACATCAGATTTTTAAAATTGAAAATAATTAAACTTTCTTGTACGAGGAAGATTGAATTTCGCAAAAATTGTTTTATCTGATACCAAAATTAAAAATAATTTTTATTACGAAAATTTTAATTATTCTAAAAAAGTGAGAAGGTAAAAAAAATTATTGTATATTTAACTTTTTAAACAAAGAATATAAACAATATTTTTTTAGAGAATTTCCACTACTTTTAATTTGGCAATTTTCAAAAAAAATTTGAAAAAAATCAATTATTTAACAAAATTTCATTCAATTTATTTTTCACAATAATTCAATTACTTTCACTTACAATAAAATTCTCCATGAAAATTCAATTTTTTTAAACAAATTTTTAATTAAATTCTAAGCATGAATTTAATTATTTTCATTATCGTAAAATTCAGTTATTTTCACAAATAAAGTTTTTCATAAGAATTCAATTATTTAAATTTCAAACTAATAAAATTTTCATAATATTTAAAAATTCATTATTTAAAAACAATGTTCATAAAATTCTTATGAAGAATTCAATTCCTTTTGAAAATAATAAAATTTTTCACAGATATTCAGTTCTTTTTAAACTTTTTCGCAATAATTCAATTAGTTTCATAAAAAATAAAATTCTTCTCAGGAATTTAATTATATTTGAAAAAAATTCTTTGCAACTATTTAATTATTTTTACAAATAATAAAATTTATCGCTGGATTTCAATTATTTTTAATACAATTTTACAGGAATTGATCAAAAAATGTAAAATTATTCTTAAAAACTTAATTTCAATTCCTCGAAAAAATCAATTATTTAAAAAAATGTTTTTTTAAAATATTTTTAAGATGGAATAATTATTTTTAAAAGTTAAATAAAATTATTCGAAAGAAATTGTTTTAAATACAATTTTAATTAGATTTTTTTTCAATAATTCAATTCATTTTTAAATTCTAATTAAATTTTCTCTAAGAATTCAATTATGTCGACAAA